GCCGGTTGAGCTATAGGCGCCGAGCCAAAAGAAATTTTTAAAAGAAGTTTAAAACTCCTTCAGATGTTTCCTAAATTTCAAATGCTTTTTGAATTGTTCTTTGGAGACTAAGTGGAATGGAAAGCAATTGATGCATACTAAATTAAGCTTCATTCGTATATGGGGAACATCAGCAGTAAAAATTTTTGGCAAACAGATTTACTTGTGTTTTCCTTAGGTGAATGTTTGAGATGCATGTTCTGGAATAATCTTGGTTGTATCCATTTTGCCATGAGCAAGCACAATTTGGGAATTTTCTACTTTAAAAAGGCTCTGCAGGAGAATGACAATGTCTGTGCTCAACTCAGTGCAGGTAGCACTGATCCAGGTAATTCCAGTGCTAGGGGACAGTTTATATTTTACTGTTTGAGAAAAGAATGACTTAAATATATACCATGTAGATCTACATACATTTAACACTAATCCTGCTCAACAAGTTTGACTCTAAAGTTTTTTAGTAGATATTGCTACAAATTCCTGAAGTTTATCCTTTAATATTCATATGATATAGATACTTGACCTGAAATGCTTAACATCAAGAATTATAGGCCAGGCACGGTGGTTCATGCCTGTAATCCTAGCACTCTGGGAGGCTGAGGTGGGTGGATTGCTTGAGCTCATGAGTTCGAGACCAGCCTGAGCAAAAGCGAGACCCCGTCTCTACTAAAAATAAAAAAACTGAAGCAAAAGGATCACTGGAGCCCAGGTTTGAGGTTGCTGTGAGCTATGATGCCATAGCATTCTATCCAGGATGATAGCTTTAAGACTCTGTCTTTAAAAAAAAGAAAGAAAGAAAGAATTGTTTAGCTTTTTAAAATAATTAAAATCTACTTAATTGATGAAAAATGTATATTCTAAATCACCTGTAGTTATGGATTGTCAAACATTGAATAAATTGTAGTACCTGACAATAAAATGGTTAACCAAACTGAAAATTTTTAAAAGTGGAAACTTCTTACAGACTGGAAAGTCTGTAAGTGGAAAAGTGGTATGAGGTTCAAAAGAGTGAGAGTGGGTCCTATGTCTTATCTTTGCCTTCCTGGAACATTGTTGCCTGAGGAGCTGGCAAATGAGAAGAGACATCTCTGGCCCTGCCAGCACAGACAACTGAGATGACTCTGGAGAATATTTGTGGGGTTGAGAATGGAGACCACCATTGCTGAGAGCTATGACAACTTCAAATCAGGGTTATTGGTATAAACATGGTAGTATTTAAGTACTTAGTAGAATAAATATTTTGAATGTTAACCATTGCTTTAAATCTAATTCTTACCTGATTTTTATCATTAGGCAAAAAATTTTCAGGAAGACCCATGTGCACGTTACTAACCAATAAGAGATATGAGTTGCTATATAACTGTGGAATTCAGCTTCTTCACATTGGAAGGCCTCTTGCTGCCTTTGAGTGTCTGATTGAAGCTGTTCAGGTTTATCATGCAAATCCTCGCCTTTGGCTAAGGCTGGCTGAGTGCTGCATTGCTGCCAATAAGGGGGTGAGTGCTGCTTGCTTATCTTTTTATAGTCTATCTCCCCCCCCCACCCACACACTTATTATTACATGGAAAACAAAAAGTATTTGGAAACATACAGGACATCATTCCCTTTACCCTCAGTAAATATATAATCTTCTGTTTTGTAACCATTTAGAAAAAAAGTTTACACCCATAGCTAGTAGGTAGGGCACGGGCCACATACATCAAAAGCTGCTGGGTTCAAACCCAGCCCGAGCCAGCTAAAACAACAATGACAACTTCAACGAAAAAATTGCTGGTAGTCCCAGCTACTTGGGAGGCTGAGGCAAGAGAATAGCTCAGGCTCAAGAGTTTGAGGTTGCTATGAGCTGTGATGCCACAGCATTCTACCAGGGCAACAGCTTGAGACTCTGTCTCCAAAAAAAAAAAGTTAAAGCTCCAAAAACCATTTGTAGGGCTGGGTGTAGCTCATGCCTGTTAATTCCAACACTCTGGGAGGCTGAGGTGACATCACTTGAGCTCACAAGTTTGAGACCAGCCTGAGCTACAGTGAGAACACCCCCCCCCCAATCTCTTAAAATAGCTGGGCATTGTGGTGGATGCCTGTAGTCCCATCTATTTGGGAAGCTGAGGCAAGAGAATCACTTGAGCCCAAGAGTTTGAGGTTGCTGTGAGCTATGTCAGCACTCTACCAAGGATGGCAAAGTGAGGCTCTGTCTCAAAAAAAAAAAAAAAAGATTTATTAATGTTTTGACTCTTGGTAAATATAGCAACATTAGAAGAGTTGAAGTTGGCCGAGCATGGTGGCTCATACCTATAATTCTAGTACACTGGGCGGCTGAAGCAGGTGGAATGCTTGAGCTCAGGAGTTTGAGACCACCCTGAGCAAAAAGCAAGATCCTGTCTCTACTAAAAATAGAAAAACTGAGGCAATAGGATCACTTAAGCCCAAGAGTTGGAGGTTGCTGTGAGCTATGACACTACAGCACTCTACCTAGGGCAGCAGCTTGAGACTTTGTCTCAAAAAGAAAAAAAAGACTGGAAGTCAATGAGAAGGTCTTATCTGTTGGAACAGTGGTCTCCTGATTACTGGGCCGGGCCCATACCATCTGCTGGCATTAGAATGGAGTATGTATACTAGGTGATTAGAGGACTTCTGTAGTATGGCAAGAACACTGGTTTAAACTGCATTTCCTTCCACATCTGGGGGGTGTTACTTTGGTTTTAATAAATTAGGCAGAATTTGTGGAATGCTGGGCTGTTTATCTCTAATATGCAATTGTCCGTGGTGGCTATGAGAATAGGCCAGCTTACATGGACTTCCATAGTCAGATTATCTCCGAAGGGCAGTTGGTAGAAGCCTTTTGAATCTCAAATTGGGAGAGTGGAGGTAGGAGAAAGATAGTTTATATCAGAATTACCAGATGTTTATATGTCTGTATCCTCTGTTTACCACTGCCATTCCCTCCCACCCACTCCTGGCTATGCTTTTGTGTGTGGAGACTGGGAGGAAGGGCATCCTAAGGTTTTATCTGGCATGCCTGCCACAGATAATATACGATGTTAGGGTTCTCCTACTGAACAGCTAAGGAGGTTAAGTGTATTTAGCTGGCAGTTTTTATACAAAACAAAGTAGTATATGCTTTAAGTATACCTTGGAGGAAGAAATGAATGATGTTTTAAAAGGTTTAAATGGCTCAGCACCTGTGGCTCAAGTGGCTAAGGCGCCAGCCACATACACCTAAGGTGGCAGGTTTGAATCTAACCCGGCCCCACCAAACACAATGACGGCTGCAACCAAAAAATAGCCGGGCATTGTGGCAGGCGCCTGTGGTCCTCTCCTGGTCGGTCGCTTGAGCCCAGGAGTTGGAGGTTGCTGTGAGCTGTGATGCCACAGCACTCTACCCAGGGGAACAGTTTGAGGCTCTGTCTTAAAAAAAAAAAAAAAAAAAGGTTTAAATGATTTATTTAATCATGATTTGCTTTTAAAAGACAACTTTCTTACTGGATAAATTTTATTTTTTGTTTTGAGACTGGCTCTTCCCTCTTATCATCCGGGCCAGAGTGCAGTGGCATCATCATAGCTCATTACAGCTGGAGACTCCTGGGCTTAAGTGATCCTCCTGCCTCAGCCTTCTGAATAGCTGGGACTACAGGCACACTCCATCATGCTGAGCTAATTTCTCTATTTTGTGCTAAGATGAAGTATCTCACTCTTGCTCATACTGCTCTTGAACTACTAGCCTCAAACAGTCCCCCTGCCCCAGACGCCCAAAGTGCTAGGATTACAGGCAGGATCCACCATGACTGCCTCTTATTGGATAATTGTTAACTGATAAATAATTCTAGGCATAATTTACACTTTTAAAAAATAGGCTCGGCGCCTATGGCTCAAGTGGCTACGCCAGCCACATACACCTAAAGTGGCAGGTTCGAATCCAGCCCGGGCCC